AGTCTAGAGTCTTGCTTGACTGCTGGAGTTTTCAGTTTGGGTACAGCAGTGGAATTCCAAGTTGAGCCAATAACCTTATAAGATGCCCTGTAGGTGGAGTTTTTTCTGTTCCTGGGATCCACTCCCAAATAACCACTCAGAGACTTAATATTAATTACAAATGCTCAGCCAATAACTTAGGCTTATTATTAACTTGCTCTTGCAACTTAAATTAGCCCATTTCTATTAATCTATGTATTACCATGAAACTTGTGGCTTTAGCTGTCCTCCAGCATGTCTTGCTTCCTCTGTGACTTCTGATGACTTCTCTGATTCTGTCCTTCTTCCCAGCATTCTCTCTGCCCCCCAAATCCTGCCTAGCCATTGGAAATCAGCTTTTTATTAACAATGAGAGCAATACATATTTATGGTGTACAAATAGTGTTTCACAGCAATGCCTGACAAGTTCCAATTTAGGAGCTTGGCCCCTACATCTCTTTTATTCCCTCTGTTCTGCCACATGACACGTGGTCTATTCAGTTATCAGACAGCAGGAAGTAGCAGCTTCTGCAAGTGTGAAGCCCCTGGTGACAGTGGCTTTGACTTTAACACGGCCACAGATGACCCATTTGTACCAGGCTCCCAGTTCCAGGTGGAGGAGGACCCTGGCTGAGAGTGGACGTTGCTTCAATGACAGAGCATCTATCGTAGAGTTGAAAGAGAGCAGCACCCACCCCTGACCCTATCCCAGTGAGGACTTGCGGCCAAGTGTTTTTATTACGAAAGCAACAATAATAAACAAGGGTTGTTATTTTCTCCGTTACTTTCTGTCTGAAAGCATCAAAAGTCAGTGAAAGGACACCGCCTTTTACTGAGGAACTCACTGGCTTTGTTGTGGCTCTAAACAAAAACCGTAATTTAATAGATCAAAAGAAGAGCATTAGTACCAGGCCCGCAGAGGCACTTAATAACAGGTAGTTTAGAGGCATGAGGATTTATCAGGAGCTTTGAAGGAAGAATAAGGACTTGAGAGTACAAAGAAGGTTTGAAACATTCCTTAGTGACAGGACAAACTTGAAAGTTTCCCTGTGAACCCGCGACCACTACCAGTCGCCATAATAGGATCTCCACTCGAAAGCACCGGAGTCCTCCCGCCCAGCAGCAGGGTGCTTTTGGCTTTCCCCAAGCTCTCCTTCTCTACGAGGTGCCTGGTTTCAACTCGGCTTGAGAACTTTGACCTGAAAACAACTGTAGCTTTGACTAGGGGTGGAGACGCTGCGGCGAGCCAGAGTGGGGGATGGCCTCCATCATCCCTGGATTTAGGAGGGGAGGACCGCCTTATCTGTCTGACTGGATCAGGGCTGAGCAAGAGAAATGAAATAGGCAGGGAGTGCAAAACAAGGGATCATAAATCCCATTGAGCCTCGGCATGTTTTCAAAACATCTCGGTATCCCGAGGCATTTGGCTACGGTACCAAGCAGCAAACACAGGCCCGGGGGGACTCTGGTGGGTTTTGGGAGCTGTGGAGGCTGAGGGAGAAGGCAGGGTGGGGCAGGTCATTCTAACACTTCTCCTAAGGACTAACTAAAGAGATTCCATCGCAGCCTAGCAAAAGTCCACTTATGTTTTAGGGCAGGCTGACCTGTCAGTCCTAAGTCTATGTATTTATAACAGCAATTTTCTCCTGAAACAATAAACAAGAACTATGGCTGCATTCCATTCTCCCCTCTCACGCCGGGACCAGGGAAATTGGATTATTTAGACTGCTGAGATTCAAGGCAGCTCATCACCTACGTGCAGATGAGGTCTCCACATGTTTCCCCGAAGCCCGTGCCATTGTGGCAATTTAGTTCCATAAAGGGCACCCATACCGTGCTATCGCAGACGGTTACTTGAAAGGAAGTCCCTCCTCTAAATTTTATCTTTGTGAGGGTCGGTTGGAGTACAGCAAGGGCCCAGAGACTGTTAGAAGGGCAGTGTTCTTTCAGGCACATTTTTTTGTCTCTGAGGCTGACATGCCTGGTGCCGCACACCCTCCACAAATAACACAGCTCCCCCCTTCCCCCGCCCCACCCCACACTCATCCTCCTTGACTGCAGGACCTGGATGTCATCTCTCTACCCAGGATGCTCAGAGAGGCCAGGGCTGGCGTCTTGCACATGGTCTGTCAAAAGCAAAAGGGCAGGCACAGTATTTTTACTCAAAACTCCAGTGCCACTGAAAGCCCCCTCCTACGTTCTGAAAATTTAAATAATGTTTTCAATGTTCAGAATGTCCCCGCCCTCTTCAGTAACCTCAGACACCATCCCATTGTGCTTCTGGATGTCTTCACGGAGGGTTTTTACACACCTCCTACTGAAGGGGAACTGCAGCCTGGGTATGTCAGATTTGCTGGTGTTAGTGTGTGATTGGGAACACCTGTGCAGTTTATTTTGGGGAGCTCTGTAGACTACAAGGCAGGTGTATGCTTTCCTCCTTTTCTACCAGCTCAGTAGCAAGCAGAACAAAGGACACTTCTGCCCAGTAAGATGCCATGGTGTTTTGATTTTCAAGGGATGACTAATGTTTTCTCTTCAGGGATATAGGCTCACCCCCCCAATCCATTTTAAACTGCTTTTTTTAGTCTTTGTTTTTATCTTTGCAAAAGCAGAATATGAACACATGAGCTGTGAAATATGATCATAAAATAATGGCAGGAGCTCCAGGAACCGCATGAAAAACCACGTCCTTGTTTTGCAGCCACCGTCTGTACATGTTCTTTAAAACATGGAATCAAGGAGGAGGAGAGTGATGGACCAGGGTAGGGGGGTGGAGCACAGCCGGTTCTGGAGAGGACTCTGCACAGTATATGCGGTGGTACAGCGCCTGCCCTCCCTGGTGTCACAGACTCCTTGCCCCCACACAGATGGTTACGAAATCACACAGACTCAGGGTGCTGCCTGCAGCTTCAACTGCCCCACCCCCTCCCAGTTCACAATACCAGGATGACAGTTCTCACATGCTCCTGGAAAGTACAACATTGCTCTTCTGGAAAGACACCCTTTTATAGCCGTGGGCAGAGGATAGTGCAACCCGGACGTCTCCTCTACACCCATGATGCTCAGAGAGGACAATGTTGTTCCTCAGGCGATGGAGCCACTATTCACAGTGTGGCTAGTATTACTGGGTCGTCAGTCTGAGTGTTGGTCCTAACAGCACCTTGAAGAACGTCTGTTTCCTCTTGTCTTGAACCCAAATTCCTTCAAAAAACCTTGATTTGAAGGGAGAGATGTTTCAGGAGGGACTCCAGTGTGTCCCCATTGACTGGGAGACGGGGAGTTCACCCTGTGGGATCACTCATATCCGTGGAAGAAGGGGATTGCCTCCTGCATGGGGCAGGTCATGTGATCAGTCACAAGAGGAAATTGAGCTATTGCCACATATTGAGAGCAAAAGACGCCCGCCTGGACCCCAGGGGAGTCTCTGGGCTGTCCCTCCTAACTTCCTATCTTATGAACGTGAAAGCAAAAACCATTGCGAGAAGAGAGGCAGGGCCATTGAGGATCTAGATCCCAGAGGAGCTGAGGAAGGAGTCGCTGCGTGGAGAAAACCAGAAAGCTGAGGACACACTGGGGGCAGAGGACACAGAACGCCCATGGAGGAAGTTACTAGTGTTAACCACAGAACAGCCTCACGACTGGTCTCAGAGGGAAGACTATGGAGTACACCTCACATGTTCACAGCATGTGTGGACACGAGCGCAAAGCCCGTCTGTAACACATTTCTTCTTTTCTCTTCATTTCTTAGAACAAATACTGCCAGAGATGACTTTTGGGTTTAGTTGTAAGGTAGTATTGGATCCAAACGAGACTGCCTAAATCTGAGGAACGGTGACTCCATAATGGCGGACTATGTCCTAGGAAATTACAACGGTAACTGTTGAACTGTTGGGATGTTGTATTTCCACAACCTGAGGAATGTTTTCTTCATCCAATAGCAGTATGCAGTTTTGTTCAAAGTTCTCAAAATCACTCTAGTCACACCGCCTCGGCACCCTCAGCTCCTACCATCTGGTCACACTGCCTCGGCCATCCTCAGCTCCTACCATCTGGTCACACTGCCTCGGCCATCCTCAGCTCCTACCATCTGGCATCTTCTGACTGCCAGGCTTTCAGCCAAGGGAGCTGCTTCCCATATATGCGCAGAATCCCTGTAAGGTTCTCATCCCAGCTGTTAAGAAGGGCAGTTTCTTCTTTTCGTCCTCCAAGGCCAGGTGAGCTGGCTGCTTCCTGTGGTCACATCCATGATACCTCACTTAGTTCCTTTCTTCAACTGTAACTGCAGAGATCATGTTCTCACCATATATCAGCCTGCGTGATCTCTGCAGAGATCGTGTGCTCCCTGAGGACCAGCCTGTGTGAACTGCCCTCAGCAGCACACCTTCACTTGGATTCTTTTCATTTCCTTTCCTTTTTTTTTCTTTTGGATTTTTCGAGACAGGGTTTCTCCGTAGCTTTTTGGTTCCTGTCCTGGAACTAGCTCTTGTAGACCAGGCTGGCCTCGAACTCACAGAGATCCTCCTGCCTCTGCCTCTCGAGTGCTGGGATTAAAGGCGTGCGCCACCACCGCTCAGCTTCATTTCCTTTTCTGACTCATATGGCACTGATAATTTTTATGTCATTTCAACTATGTCTTTGACCTCTTATTAGAACGTGGGAACATACATTCTATTGTATTTTCTTACTCAACCTTGTTTTTCTGAGAAATCCTAAAGGTGGTTAACATTGCCATGTTTTTCCTTCCACAAGTTGAATGCTTTAACTTCCTTCTGGACTCTTCTATGTTTGAGATTTATTTCTAAGTGTGTGTGTGTGTGTGTGCAGGTATCTGAGGAGACCAGAAGCATCTGATCTTCCCAGACCTGTAGTTATAAGGGGACTATGAGCTGCTGGAAACTGAGCTCCAGTCCTTGGCCAGAACAGTATACATTTTTTAATTTTAAAAAAATTTTAAAATAATCTTTTTTATTTTATATACCAATAAAAATATGGAATGCTTCATGAATTTGCATGTAATCCTTGCACAGGGACATGCTATTTTTTTCTGTATCATTTTAATTTTAGTGTATGTGCTGTCGAAGCAAGCACCAGTACCCACATTTCTTTTTAAAAAATTCTTTTTATGTGTGTGGGTGTTTTGCCTACATGTATGGTTGTGCAAGCCTGGCATCAGTAGAAGCCAGAAGAGGGTGTTAGATCGCTTGGAGCTGAAGTTACAGATGGGTGTGAGCCAACTTTTGGGTGTTGGGAATTGGACTCAGATCCTCTGGAAGAACAGCCAGTATTCTCAACTTCTGAGCCATCTCTCCAGCCTCCAGTACTCATTCTTAGCCACCCAGCCACCTCTCCGGTCCCTGGAGAGGTTTTTTTTTATATCATTGTCTATTACATCCTTCTATTAAATCCTGATTTTTAAGCAATCTTCTTCTATGTATGCCAGTTAACCAACACGTAGAGAAATCCACTCATTTTATTGGTTTTAAAACAATTCTTATTTAGTTTTCATTCATAGTCTTAAACTTAACTGTTGTCCAACATGACTTGCGGGGAGAGGGGAGAAAAGGAAGAAGTAGCGGGGGGGGGGGGAATGGTGAGCAAATCAGGATGGGCCTGAGCCACAGAAGCAATGGCCTGGTAGTCAAGAAGCACGCAAGTAAAAAATGCCAGAGATTTTTACAGTCAGGAGTGAGTCTTTCTGCTGGTTGTGTGGCTTCTGGGTCCCAAATGGCACATGGCTCCCATGATGCTCACGCCTTCTTCTACCTTCCTGGAGACCACACACTTGCCACCGAGCCATTCAGTTTTGGCAGGGAGACGAAAATGTGGGGAGCCTTCGTGTTTGCTGCAGCGTTTGACACTGCACAATGCCGAGACTGTAAGAATCACGATGAAGCTCTCAGCTACAGCTTCCTGCAGATGAGCCGGCTGCCAGTGGTGTAACCATGGGAAGCCATTCATGTTGTTTCTTATGGGACTATTCCCACAGAGAGATTTGGTAGTCCCCCAAACACTGAGAATCCCTTCCTGGGGGCTGGAGAGAGGGCTCAACAGTTAAGGACACTTGCTGCTTTTCCAGAGGACCCAACTTCTGCTCCCAGCATCCACATGATGCAGTTCACAACTGCCTGAGCTCCACCTCCTGGAGATCCAGCATCCTGGATATGCGGGCACCTGGACACACATAGATTTAAAAGAGACCTTTCCTGGCATTTCAGTGGTCAGAATGGAGTCACATGTCTGTTTCTGACTCAATTACAGTGTGTGTGTGTGTGTGTGTGTGTGTGTGTGTGTGTGTGTGATCTCTAGATGAACCACGCTCAGCCTAAATCAAGCAGAGGGTGACTTGGATTTTCCTGAAGCACATAGGCTAAGGAGCGGGAGTGAACCCTGGACAGAGCCAGGCTCCATAGCAAGGACTGGGTAGATCTACACAACTGACCCCTGGCAAGTGCAAGACTCCTAGGTGTCTCTGCAGACTTGCTGCAAGGGTCAGCAACAGCAGAGGTATTCCAAGGGTTGTGAAGAGAAATGATAGAGCAATAAACAACACAGCAAATAAACAAATAGCCCACGGTAAGGGTGTTTCTAATGAGATATGCTTTGGTAGAGTACCATCCCTGTGTCCTCCGGAAATGCCTCACCACTTAGAGAAGAGCAATTTTGCTTTTTAGTTTTAGGCGTGGAGTAGCACGAACCATACTGATGTGTGTTATGGTTTTGTTTTACTTTTGTTTTTTCTTTTTTTCAAGTAGGGTTTCTCTATGTAGCCCTGGCTGTCTTGGAACTCGCTCTATAGACCAGGCTGGCCTCAAACTCAAAGATCCACCTGCCTCTGCTTCCCAAGTGCTGGGATTAAAGACGTGCCCCTCCACCATCTGGCTGAGTTTTGTTTTTTGGTCCCCCCCCTTTTAATTTTTAAACCAAGAAATAGGTGAATCCAATGAAGAACGTGTAAATAAAAAAGTTCCCACATCTCAGGTCTGACTAAACAAAAGTTCATATTAACAACAGCTGGAGTTAATCCTTGAGTATACTACAACCCTTTGAAGGCTCAAGCTATTGTGAAGACAGGAGGATCTCTGTTCACAGTATTGAACAGAACTGTGGGCCAGGCCATGCTACACAGTAGTTAAGCACACACAGTGTAGGGGACAGAGTGTCCAGCTCCTGGTCTTTTTCTAGCCACAGACTTTTGGCAATATCACTTCTGGGATTTGGCCAGCAAAACTCCAATAGCAGTAGGGACTCCTCCAGGCAGCCCCTAAAGTTCTGCAAAGTTTTGCTGAGATTGGCCCACCTTCCTTTGTTCAGTCAACACCAATGAACACCTGCTGTGTGTCCCCAGGGTGTTGTGCAAGGTGGCATCACACGACGGGTCATTACAAAGTGTCTGCTAACATTCAAGCTTCCTAGGCAGCTCTCCCCAAGATAGGAAGACCTTGATTCTGACTATGCACATTTAAGTCTATGGATGTTTCAATTCTGCATCACAAATCCACAAATGCATTTGTGAATAAAAAACAAAAACAGCCCTGGCCTGGGCAGCACCGGTGTGGGGATGCCCAGGGGCCACTAGCTCGAGCAGCCTCTTCCTGTCACCCACCCACGGGTTAGTCAAGAGATGTTAGATTAGGTGGCCATGAAGACCTCCCTGCAAAGGTGTTCTGAAGACTCCGCAGCAAGAACGGTGGATTGGTTGGGTGAGGTTGGCTGGGGTGGGAGGAAAGTCCAGAGGAAAGAAGTAACACGTGCCAGAGACCGCGAGACACATGATGGGGCGGAGCCGCCGTTCTGCTCCCTCCGCAGTCCCATCTGGGAACACTGGCTTTTTTCCTTTGCCCTGGTCTGGCTCCCTTTTCATAATCTTGGTGTCCTTCTTACACCGCTCTCATCGCCCCCTCCACTTCTCTCATCATTTCAGCCTTGAACTTTAAGCCCCTTTGACACTCGGTTGTTTTGTGAACACCATGCCACTGTTCTGCAATGTGTTGATTTATGAGCGCGCACAGACTCCTCCCCGGCTTTCCTGTAAGCCCCCTTTGAAACCTCACAACGTGAATCTGAAATTTCACATCTCCCCTCCCCAGCCCCACGAGAAACCAACATCTGTTCATCATGTCAGAGTTTGCAAGGTGGCTTTGCTGGGACCAAACTGAATCCCAGCCTTACTCAGCTGGTAAAAGTCTGCTCTAGGAGATCACTACTCCCTAAACCAGTGAGTGGTTCTCAACCTATGGACCGCAACTCCTTTGGGGATCGAAAGGCCCCTTCACATGGTCCCCTATCATATAGCCTACTTATCAGATATTTATGATTTGTAACAGTAACAAAATCAAATTTATGAAGTAGCCATGAAAATAATTTTAGGGTTGGGAGTCCCCACAACTAGAGGAACTGTGTTATAGGGTCGCAGCATTAGGAAGGGTGAGAACCGCTGAAGCTGGTATCTCCTGTCTACAGATGAGATGGCCTTCCCAAACTAGGTCTTTGCCTTTTTTGTAGTTAAATCTATAACTACAAAAGAATAAAGACTATAACTAATTACAGACCAGCTCACATAAAGCGTATAATGAGTAGAGTTTGGAGGCTCACTGGATTTGGGGGGGACCAAAACCTTTTAGATTGATTCCCCTTCGGGTTGGCATGGGCAGACCGATTCCGGACTCACTTCTATCCCCCTGCACCCACACCTGTCTACAGAAGTGGGATCGTTACTGTTGGCTCAGACTGGCTTTTATCTAGTCTGTTTTCTGGAGTTTTCTAAGATTAGGAGCCAACAACTCTGTGTAAAAGACCACACAGTGAATATTTTTGGCTTAATGATGCCACACCACTCAACCACAGGCTGAGTGTCAACAAACCAGATGTGACTGTGTTTCAGTAAAACTTTATTTACCAAAACCAGACAGCAGCTGCCAACTTAATCACCTGAGGTGGGTGTAACTTTCCGCTGGGGCATCTTGCAGTTTTGGATTTTGGAGGATTTTAGATTTTGAAATGTTTGAATGCGTTGTACTGGTTTCTCCAGTCTCAGTACCCCAGGCTCATAACTGGACCATTTGTTGGGATTTGGAAAGATGTTCCAAATAACTCATCATTGTAAGGGGTGGCATAGTCTGCACATGTCCTCTTTTCTAGGAGACTGAACACTTCCTGGTGAACACTGGGCTAGCCTAGCACAAGACATCTGTTCTTTCCCAACCTGCCTCTACATCCACCTCATGTTGCCTTGGCAACAGAGTGAATGCCTTCTGCTTGTGTGAGACGAGATACTGACCAGTAAGGTGTTCATGGCCAGGCAGCATCCAGTAAGGTGTTCATGGCCAGGCAGCATCTCATCTCACACAAGCAGCAGGCACACGCTCTGTTCCCAAAGCAACCAATGGGGACTTCCTGGTCAGCACAGCTAACGGAGCATTGGAGCCATGCTCAGAATGCAGACTCATGTCCAGAAGTTTGAAGCTGAATGAGCAAGATGATTCTGCTGCCAGTTGGTCAATATTCTGCACAATAATTTCTTATTTCAAGGCTTTTCTGTAAATAAAAGGGCAAAGCTATGGCCACTGCTGTTCAACAAAAGAAACATCCGAGTTAACAGACAGGCCAGAGAATGGGAAAAAAATCTTTACTGCTACCCTGCAGATGAGGGGCAGATATTCAGAATTTGCAAAGAATTGTGGAAATTGAATACCAAAGAAGTAAAACTGCCAACTAACAAATAGGAAAATAAACTGAATAAATGACTCTCAAAAAGAAAAAAAGAGAGAATTGAAAAGAAAGAATAAAAGAAAAAGCACAGATGGCCAATAACTAGTTTTTAGAAGTGTTTGCTATCCCTAGCTAGCAGGAAACATAAATTAAAACTCGTATGAGCTAGCACCGCACCCCAGTTAGAACAGCTACCATCAGGAAATCTGACAACAGACACTGGAGAGGATGTGGAGAGAGAAGAACTCTGATGGCAGAGGGAGATTAACATAGTCATTGCAAAATCAGTTTGCAGAGTTCTAAAAACAATGCCATATGATCCAGCCATCCGACCTCCAGGCACATATCCAGAAAACCTCACGCCCCCACAGAGATATCTGTATGCCCTGTTTGCTGGTGCTTTATTCGCTGTAGCAAAGGGTTGGAGTCACCCTCGTTGCCCACCAACAAATAAATGAATAATGAAAATTTGTTATGCATATATTTTATATATTTGTATAATTTTATTTTATAAAATGTAAAACTATGTAACACACACATACACATGAATACTACTCAGCTTTAAAGAAGCACACAGTTAAAAAATATGGAGAAAAATGATGGACTTAGAATGTACAGCATCAGACAAGGTCATGTATTCTTGTCATTGATTTCGAAGGTGAATAAGTGCATAAAATAAATCTGAAACTGAAAGTGTAAAATTTAAAATGAAGCAATGTAGATTCCATTCTAAATGCCTATTCTAATTTTATAGAAGTTCACTGGTTTATGTAGACTGGGTCTGGCTACCTTTGGTGTGTAATTTTTTTAAATTTATTGGTAAGTTTTAAAAATAAAGTTTATTAAAAATTTCAAACCTTTCTTTGGTTTTTAAAAAAAGGCTTCCTTGGGTCCACAGCTACTAGAGCACGGTGAACCTCTTTAAGACAGGACAGAGAGCAGCTTCTTAAAGGAAGTGGCTGCTGGGGACAATGGGCCTGCTTCAGGGTCTTTTGCTCTCAGAAACAATTCCCGTGCTCAGATGAGAAGTGAGCTTCATTGCCTGGAATATCTTAGCCTCGGGTATAATGTTCACCGGGGACTCAGGGGACAGTCAGAAGGTGCCAAGGCCTGTAGTTCCCCTGCCCTCCACGGCCCTTGAGTAATTGTGGCACAGCCCACTCAGACAAGTGGGAGGAAGGTGAAGTCAAACCATAGAGTGGGCTTCCAGCAGCACCTGGCCTCTGTGCTTCCACTCTGAGGGGCTCGGGGGGCCTAACGGAGAGAGGGGGAGGTTGGGTGGGCTGGGTGTCAACAAGAAGGTCTGTCACGGTTTCCGTGGTAAATCATGGGTTTTCCAGGCCTTTGATTGCAGGGCTCACTCATCCTTAGCTGTCCACCTCCTAACGGAGCACAGACTGCCCTCTTGTCCTGGGAAGTAGACAATGGAGTCCTCCGCTGAAACGAGAAAACACTTATGAAATTGGATTTTGATTTGTAAGAGATCAATGGAAGAAAAAAGGAAATAATAAAACCACCTTTCAGTGGATCTAGGCCCTTTGGGTTTTTAAACACTTGGTCGTTTGGAGGCATTTCCATTGCCTGGACTGTCATGTGTATTTTCCAGTGTTGACTTGTTCACCCTTCTGACCACTGTGACGCAAGGGTCCTGTTGTCACCAGAGCATTTTAGAGGAGGAAGCTGGCGTCCAATGGTTTAAGATGGCTTGGCAGCAGCTAGGACGGGATCCAGGCTTGGCTGAGTCACCAGTCTGTTCTCATGGTGGTGCTGTCTGCAGTCATCTGGAAATCTCTGGCTGAAGTGGCCATTTCATTGGCACGGACCATCACTGTTGGCTAGCGCGGGTTCGTCTAATTCAGCGAAGCTTGGTAGGGCTTCTGCTTGTGGGAATCCCAGAGCACGAGTTTGCCCTGTTCTGGAGACACCTGTGGGATAATGTAGTTATAAAGAGTGAGGTTGAGGCCATGGGGACTTGGAGAGGACCACCACTGTGCCCACAACAGCTGGTGCAGATCTTAGTGCAATGACACAGTCAAGTGAACCCTCAAAGAGCAAACAGAGTCTCACGAGAAGGAGTAAGAGAGCCACGTGACTCCTGGAAGGGGCATCGGCATGAGCAGGGCTTGGAACTGACCCTCAGCGAGTCCCGCTGCTGTGTACAACGAGAAAAGCACAGGCAAACGGCAGTAGTACCCTCAGCCCAATACACAGCTGCTGGGCTTTGTGGAGAAGATGTGGCATCTTGGTGTTTAAGTGAGCTTTTGCATGATGACGGCTCAGAGGGATGCAATGAGGTGAGGAGAGGGGCAGACTTAGGGTAGCGGGTCTTTGTGGTAATATAGGGAGTGAGCTGGCTTGGGCATGAGTGAGTCCCCACAGATGCTAACTGTGCCTAGGAGTGGACGGCCTGACAGGGATACAATGATGTGATCTTGGTCATCAGGTAGTTTGGGGGAAAGAAGGTCAGGTGAGTTCTCTCGATGGCTGTTGTGCAAGGAGAGGGGATGGAGGGGAGTTTTAGTTCCTACATTTTACCCCTACTTTTCATTTACATTGATCTTCTCTTACCATAAATCCGCAGGTAGAGCGAGTCCACATACAAGCCATAGTGGGGAAAGCTGGAAGTTGCGCCAGAGACCACCGGGCTCAGGGGTCCAGATGGCGTCTCCTTTTCCTTCTGTGTTTCAGCTCTTCTCATCCATGGGCTGAGCAACTCCCCTTGTTGCAGGGTGCAGTGATCTGGGGCTCAGAGTTTGGCCAAAGATAAAATGCCTTCGGCATTTAATAAAAACAGACAGACCCAAACTGAAGAAATATCACTCTGGTCAACTGAAGGATGAAATCTCTACTGGTACTTTTGAACTGTCAAGAATTTAATGATGCCTTGTGTACACACGTGCTACAAAATGTGGGGAAGAAAGAGACATAAATGCTTTTCTTAATTTGAATATTTTGGTAAGATTGAGTTACGGCCTCTTGGTACCAACTGTTTTGTGATTTCTTTTACCTTAATTTTTTTTTTTGCAACTTTATTTTCGTTAGTTCCATCAAGAGAACCTAGTCCAGTGCAAGCATACATTTTCCCATCCTCAAATTGAGGCAGAAACTACAAAGTCAGGCTGTTATGAGAACCTAATGATTTAAATAATGGAAAAACGACAGGGCTGTGCCTGGGACAGAGTCAACACAGGCTAGTAAGTCTACTCTGCTGTGTCACCAATCCACAACGCAAAGTTACACAGAAAGGCTTGGGGAGCTCTGGGGAGCACATGGCAGTCCTGGGAAGCTGCCCACTGGGTTCCTCTCCAGAGACGGATCTGCATTCTGGAGAGAGATTGCACCAAGCACCCACTAAGAACAGTGTTCTAAAAAGACCTGATAGGGGTTTATTTTAGGGACCTCTCTTAACAGTGAGACACTAAGCCTTCAGGAACCTTAACCCTAAACCCTCCCCACATCCTCCGCCCACTCCTAAACTCTAGCCCTCTTTGGCCTTTCTGTGCACATTGGAGGCGGTCCTTTGCTGATTATGGGCTAATGTAGCTGCCACATCCACCAAAAGGAGAAAGTGAGTGGCCAGAAGCTGTGTCCCCAGGGGCTTTCCCTGCTACAGAAAAGACAGCAAAATCTTACCCCAGGTCTAGAGAAACAAATGGTTCCTCTCTGCTGGCTCTTTGGGTCATTCTTATACCATCCACCCAAGGCAAGAAAGAATCTAAAGGAGTTTTTGTCTTATTTGTTTTACTGCAACTGATTCCTATTGTTCGACTGTGACCTCAGACAAACAGCACAAACCGAAGCAGAGAGAACTAAAGAGGAGCCCTTGGACAGACCCAACATCGGGTCCCTCCTGTTACCAGGGCCTGAAGTTCCAGGAGTCTGCATCATCTTTACAATTGGTGTCACCGTGAAAAGAAGCCCAGGGGCCAGGAAATATGTGGAGGAGGAAGGTGTGCAGGGATTTGGAGGTGCACCCTTTACTCTTCTGAAGTCCACTTCGTTCCAGTTTTAAATTTTATATTTTATTTTATTGAGACACGGTCTCATGTAAAGCTTGCTGTGCACCCAGCGCAGGAAGCCTTGGCCTCCGGCTGCCCCTCCTTCACCTCTCGGTGCGGTGACTACAACGTGTGTTTGCTACCAAGCCTAGATGCATTTCAGTCTTTAAACTAACAGTTAAGGAAAATAAAGCAACTTGACACGTTGCCATTAAATATTTACTGGTTTCTTGTAAGGGAGATCAGGTAACCTCGTGTCACAGCAAAGGAGAAGTGTCCGAGCCCACCGAGCTCAGCAATAAAAATCCCTCACCAGAAGGCTTGGAAACCGCCCCTGAAGGTCATACTCACCCCAAACCCTGCCACGCCATCACTAGTGGACACTGTCCAGCCCCCCAGGCCAGAAGTCTCATCTCTCCTGGAAAAGAGGATACAATGGAAGGTTTTTAGTAACGGACCTGTTGATTCCGAGAACAGGCCTGGAAAACAGAATGTCCCACTTGTGCTTAACTGTCAAATACTTTAAAAATAGAGTTTTGGTGCTGGAGTAGCCCAGTGGTGGGGTACTTACCTGACATACGGGGAGCCTAGGACTCTATCCACAGTACCGTGAAAATAAACAGCCCTACAAAGGATTTCTGACATTAAAACAACATTGTATGTGAAGGGTAAACGAGCCTCATTTGGACTCCTAATTCAGCTATGGCAATGTTTTACTTCAGTGAAAATGATAAAACTGAAATCCGTATTTCTATGTGTATCTCTGTGTGAAATCTGTTGATACTATAGATATCCATATCTGTCTATGTATCTCTGTGTGTGCGGAAATACAGGCTGAAGCGATGCAGAACATGACCAGAGAGTCTGCGGGAAGTTCACCTTATGACTGGTCATAGAGTCACACACAGTGTCCTAGTGAGGGGCGCCTGTTGTTACATTGTAACTGTTGGAGTCAGTGGTTCTCAACACGTTGTGGTCACTCCCAAATTAAAAAATTACTTTTAATGCTACTTCATAACTGCAATTTTGCTACTGTTATGAATTGTAATGTAAGTTTTTTTGGAGACAAGTTTGTTGAAGGGATTGAGACCCACAGGTTGAGAACCACTGGCTAAGTGATTGAAAACATGGATCTTCCTTTAGTTTCTTTCCCTCCACGTCTCATTTTACTGCATCTATTTATGTGTTTCCCCTTTTCAGAGCGCGAATGACTTAAGAAAGCAAGACTGTAAGGAAATCAGCCGTCGCCCATAACGCTAGGACTGGAAGACGGCTGTCGTAAGATTTCTGTGTTTTGCATTTTGTTGTGGCCGGTGGAGGTGGCAGGCCTGTCTTGCTCTGTTTATCTTCAGAGGCTACCCTTGGGCATTTTAGCACATCGAAGAACTTAATAACCATCTTGATTAAAAAGCCACCGGAGGGTTCTGATCTGCACAGAACTGCAGTGCCCCGTGAAGGGACAGATTGGCAATCAAGCTTCCTTGACCACGGACGTGATCCGGTTCTCTCCTAGTCAAGTCCTTGTTTCACATTTAATCAAGGCTCCTTTTTTTTTTTTAAATTTACTTCACATTTTATTTATTGTATGAGGTTACATGTACCATGGCACTGTGTGGAGGTCAGGGGACAGCTCTGTGGAGTTGGGCCTCTCCTTCCACCTTTACGCGGGTTCAGGGGGTCAAACCCAGCTCACCAGGCTTTTTATAAAGGTCTCGAAATTTTTCTTGAATATATTACTATTTCAAAAGTGATTTCAAATTAAATCTTTTATTTATTGATTGGCAGAAGAATATGTTAGCTACATTCTTTCTTTCTTTTTTTTTCTTTCTTTCTTTATTTATTTATTAAATATTTCAGTCTCTTCCCCACCTCCGCCTCCCCTTTCCCTCCCCCTCCCCCAATCCATTCCCCCTCCCTCGTCAGCCCAAAGAGCAATCAGGGCTCTCCGTCCCGTGGGAAGTCCGAGGAAAACCCTCCTCCGTCCAGGTCTCGTAAGGTGAGCATCCAAACTGCCTAGGCTCCCACAAAGCCACTACATGCAGTAGGATCAAAGACCCATTGCCATTGTTCTTGATGTCTCAGTAGTCCTCATTGTCCGCTATGTTCAGTGAGACCGGTTTTAACCCAGGCTTTTTCAGACCCAGGTCAGCTGGCCTTGGTGAGTTCCCGATAGAGCATCTCCATTGTCTCAGTGTGTGGGTGCACCCCTCGCGGTCCTGAGTTCCTTGCTCATGTTCGCTCTCCTTCTGCTCCTGATTTGGACCTTGAGATTTCAGTCCGGTGCTCCAATGTGGGTCTCTGTCTCTGTCTCCTTTCATCGCCTGATGAAGGTTAATATTCAGGAGGATGCCTATATGTTTTTCTTTGGGTTCTCCTTCTTCTTTAGCTTCTCTAAGAACCCGAATTGTAGGCTCAATGTCCTTTATTTATGGCTAGAAACCAAATATGAGTGAGAACATCCCATGTTCCTCTTTTTGGGTCTGGCTTACCTCACTCAGGATAGTGTTTTCTATTTCCATCCATTTGCCTGCAAACTTCAAGAAGTCCTTGTTTTTTACTGCTGAGTAGTACTCTAATATGTATATATTCCATACTTTCTTCATCCATTCTTCAATTGAGGGGCATCTAGGTTGTTTCCAGGTTCTGGCTATTACAAACAATGCTGCTATGAACATAGTAGAGCATATATTTTTGTTGCATGATAAGGCCTCTCTTGGGTATATTCCCAAGAGTGGTATTGCTGGGTCCATGGGTAGGTTGATCCCAAATTTTCTGAGAAACCGCCACACTGCTTTCCAGAGTGGTTGTACAAGTTTGCATTCCCACCAGCAATGGATAAGTGTACCCCTTTCTCCACAACCTCTCCAGCATAGGCTATCATTGGTGTTTTTGATTTTAGCCATTCTGACAGGTGTAAGATGGTATCTTAAAGTTGTCTTGATTTGCATTTCCCTGATCGCTAAGGAAGTTGAGCATGACCTTAGGTGTCTTTTGGCCATTTGAACTTCTTCTGTTGAGAGATCTCTGTTCAGCTCAGTGCCCCATTTTATAATTGGGTTGATTAGCCTTTTACAGTCTAGTTTCTTAAGTTCTTTATATATTTTGGAGATCAGACCTTTGTCAGTTGCGGGGTTGGTGAAGATCTTCTCCCAGTCAGTGGGTTGCCTTTCTGTCTTAGCGACAGTGTCCTTTGCTTTACAGAAGCTTCTCAGTCTCATGAGGTCCCATTTATTCAATGAGGCCCTTACTGTCTGTGCTGCTGATGTTATACGTAGGAAGCGGTCTCCTGTGCCCACTGTTAGCTACATTCTTAATTTTACATTTCTTGATTTTAAATTTCTTTTTACATTCCCTGATGTTAAATTTCTTTTTTCAATGTATTTCAACTGCTCTTGTCTATATATTTTTGTTAAGTGATGGATTCATGCATTGTTGATCCTTATTTTGTAAGCATTGTACTTTTACGTTTTGGAAACGTATTTACTTAATCATTCTTTGTGTGTTTGTGTACCTGAGTGTGTGTGGGTATGAGCATGCATGCCATGGAACATACGTGGAGGCCAGAGGACGGCTTGCAGGAGTCGGTTCCCTCCTACTGTGTGTGTCCTGAGATTCAAAATTTGATTGGCATGTTTAGTGGCAAATGCCCTTCCCTGCTGAGCCATTATTGTGGCCCCTTAATCACTGCATCAAAAAACATGTGATATTATATAACACAGCCACTTTTTTGTTTAGTAGCAAAGTATACAAAACAGTATATTTACTGTTAATATGTTTGGAATTTTTGCCATAATCATACTTAATACTGTATTTGTCATTTAATTTAAAAGTGTGTGTGTGTATGTGTGTGTGTGTTTGTGTATGAGAGTGTACACCGTATTGGGATCAGAAGACAACTTTCAGGAGTCCACTCTTTCCCTCTATTTGGGTTGCAGGAATGAAACAAAAGCCTTTGGTCTCAACCCTTTTACCTACCAAGTTACCACAAGCAATCACAATTATATTTAAAGGCTTTTATAGGCAATATAAAATTCTTACTTCCATTATCTGCGGCTGGATAAAAATGGAGCGGAAGCTGTGCCGTGAACCAGGATGAGGGGCAGCAGGGACATGGGACATGATAGCCCTGGTGTTCCTACGAAAGGCAGGGTACTGTGTCATCTTTGCAAAGGCCGAAACTCCATCTGTTCCTGGGCTCGAATGTGATGGCCGCATCTCCTTTCACGGGCTCGTGTTTGAGTTACTGTTTTGCAATCCTTCTGTCTATTTTGGATCTGATTTGGTCAGGATAAGAAACAGATTGATAGAAAATGGTTGCTTGGATTTCTCTGACATTTTCAGAAATGTTGCTCAAACCACTATGGGTTTGAAATTTAATTTTAAAACCTAGAGGTCAAAAATCTTAAATAGGAATCACTTTTTTCATTTATCCTAATCAGACACATCGTCTCACTGTTGATTATGAGCAATTGCATCATTATTCAAAATATGAAAACCAATTATACTGATTTTACTATTAACGTTGAATGCAAAATTGATTACTATCTGGAATAACTAAAACTAATTCCCGTCTTAGATATGCAAATGGTATAGATTTTTAGCTTTGGACAAAATAACATCTCAAAATCAAGCAAATTTTACAAATTGTAAAATTAAAAAAAAACTTTACAGTTCCATAAATTTGAAAAATCTACTTCAAAATATATTTAAACAAGCTCAATATATTATAGGAAATCTTCTAACAAGGAACTCTCAATGTAAAATGGTACAGTATATTTAAAACATATTTGTATGTATAAAGGCTATAATTTTTGCATCCTTTGGGGCAAACCATTTGAAAACACAGACATTTATTATTATAAAGAAAAAGGCAAAAAATTGATAACCTATGGGATTTTGGAAAAGATTTGGGAGAGGAATAATGTCTCCACTTGGGGATATAACATGTCTGTTACGACTCTGTTCTTGAGAAGAGCTAGCATGCCCTACGGTTTGCAGCTACAGGATCTATAGAGACGGAACAAGATAGAACTTGGGTAGGATTCGTCTAAGGCTGGCTCCAGCTGCTTCTGTCTCTGGCCTTTTCTTGGTCCGTTTCTAACCTGTCATATTTCTCCTCTGGATCACATGGGCTCTCGTCTAGACCCCGTCTATAACTCTGTGTAAGAACCCGGATTCCGAGGCCTGTTTGTTTGGCTTTGAATCTCTCATTCTTTCCACTTGACATTGGTAGATACCAGACAAGCTGACCTTCTCCTAGTGTCCTCAATAAAAGCAATAACTGCAATAGCACTTGTGCTCAGTTTACCTGCTGCTGCAGTTTTCAGTCCTCTGTGGTCGGACCACACAGCCACACTCTTGGTTCTGGTGGACATGGTGTCCTTCTCAGACTCTCGACTTTGAGCCAGCTGACACACGGGAAATACAGTGTAATTGATCACTGAGTAATTGATACAGTGTAATTGATCACAGTGTAATTTTATCACTGAGCCACACACGGGGTGGCTCAGTGATAAAACACCTTTAGTGTGTACAAGGTCAAGTGTGTGTTTGTGGGAGACCAGAGTCAACAAAAATACCTCTTACCAGAGGAGGGGCATGGGGACTAGAAAAGTTAGTAAAGGCACGACACGTGCATGAAAATAGTAAAACAGAAGCAGAGGATAGTGTCGGGAGGGAGTTCCAGTGAGTACTGAACTCCCCCTGCTTTTAACCTTCCACACACTTTTACACCCCAAAACCACAGGGGGAAGAAGACAAAAGACTGCTTTAACAGGACACAAAGGACAGCAGGAACAGTTATTTGCTTCAATACTTTGAGACGTCAAGTCATTAGCATTCTGTTGTTTAGGCAGTGAACCCACCCTAGATCACGTAGCCAAAGGCAGCCACTCCCAAGGTCAAACCTCCTATTTCAAAAGGAGCAGAAGTAAGCTTGAATATCCTGACCAGTGGTCAGGGTGGAGTGGATCTACCTGTCTGGGCCATCTTAATGTCAAAGAGACCAAGTATCCACACCTAAGCTCAGGGTGTACAGCCACACTTGTCAACAACTTTGAACAAGTTAAAACTCTCTGACCTTCAGACAAGGTGGAAATAGGCTCACATTTTTGGGCCTCCACGCGTGTTCCATCCTCAGGACACAAAACCAAAAATTTAGAAACAGTTCCCAAACAAAAGGCTAAATCCTACAACATATTCCTTAGCTGTCCTTCTGACCCTGGAGAATGAGAGACACTGTTGAGCTGTGTGTGGCCATCATTTCCCGAGGTGGACACCTAGAAAAACACAAGGCTCATGGCTTATTCCTGAAAGTTACTGAGCTCCGGGATGGTTTGTTCTAGGTCATTCTGTGACTTGAGCTGACTGCCCTAGTATGGAGCACAGGATCACACTATAGGGATTCCACGTGCAGGCCTCAGAAGCAGGGCACTATACTGCCTCACAAACATGGACTTTTGTTCCTAGTCTCCATCCTTCTGAGCCCTACCTTGCTTCCTTAACTGACTTCAAATTTTTCAGGCTTGGGACTCGCCAGTGGATGGGGTTCTACAGAATAATAGTGGAGATGGCTTCAGGCTGATTCCCGGGGCTGGCACCTACTTGCTCAGCACCCCCAAGTCGTGAGCAGATCCCCACAGCTGACAGTCTCTGTGGATAGATTCAGCCCATGCTTTCAGATAGCGACTGCAGGACACCACTCCGATGAGAAGCGCTATGATTGCATGAGCAATCTTAAACCCATCGCTCCTCTCTTATCAGCATTCATCAGCACGGTCACGAGAATCTTCTCCTGTGGATGGAGATTCCCCTTTCCATTAAGACGGCAACATCAAGAAAATTTTCTTAAGACTGAATAATTCTACTTAATGCCAATTTTTTACTTCCTGTGATAGCCCAAGATGAACCTGAGTTCATCCTTCGACAAGGCTGCTGACGGGCCTAATCTTTCCCTTGCCACAGGACAGCACATACTGAGGTATTTCTCTAAGAAGCCTGACATCATCACCGGACAACCCATCCAAAGCCAAACTGCCGATCTCAGAGTTCCAGAGTCCTTAACCTCCGTCATTCTCATCCTCCCGGATGTCCCCTTCTCTCCAGAAGCCCACTCTATTTCAGCCGGTGGTCATCCCCTCCAGATGATGTTCCTCAGAATCCAGGTCACCACCTCTAGCAGCAACTTCCCAGGCTGCTTTCCTGAATTTCTCATCCCACAATCCTCCTCTCTGCCCTTGGCGTCTCCATGAGCCCTGGACTGTGGGTAGCCATGCAAACCAGAACAACTTGTCTCTGTACCTTTTTCGGTGACTTCCTAGCTCACTCAACAAAATCGACAGGCCAGAGCAGGCCGGGTTTGGTCTGACATCTGGTCCCTGCTGACCTCAGCTCCCACCTTCTTGCTCTTATTTTCTCTTTCTGCCCACTTGTTGTTTGCTGCTCCCACAACATTCCAGGCACACCCCATACTTTGGGCCTCTGCCCTTGGTGTAGGTTTTGCTTAATATTGCGGCAGCTGCCAGTTCTTACCCAACTTCCTTCCCTGCTGCTCAGCACATAGCAGCTTCTGGTATGCTAAATGATTTATTATGCCTATTGTTTCTCCACGCTACAAGGTAAGCGCTATATGCACAAGATTCTTTTTCTCATCACGAGTGCTAAGAACAGTGCCTGGTAGACAAATGCCCACGGAATACCTCTAGACCAGATGAATCGGCAGTCGCTTGCGTGACCAGCACCATCATCTAATGGCAGAGACCCAGAGAGTTCACGAAGGAATCGAAGCCTTCCTGGGTCCTTCACACCAGAACACGTGCAGATACAAGTTCCTGAACCTGCGCTTTCCCACGAGTTTGCCAAACTCAGGCCACCAACTCAGTGACACTGTTGAGGCGTCCTGGGTCTCAGCCCTAGTCTCCCCTCCCCTCCCCTCCCCTCCTCTCCCCTCCCCTCCCCTCCCCTCCCCTCCCCTCCTCTCCTCTCCTCTCTTCTCCTCTCCTCTCCTCTCCTCTCCTTTCCTTTCCTCTCTCATTCTGCTGGTTTCTCTTCAAAGTTAAATCTTAGTTTTTCTCCCTTTAGTGTGGATGAAGCTGGCTGACTTGCTTCTAAGATTGGATTGTGGCAGATGATGAACCAACCTGCCTCCATCTTAGGTAAAGACATCATAAACTAGGCTCATTCCTGTTTGTGATTAAATTTATTTCTCAAAGAGTGGGCTATGCCCCACCTATAACCTTAACTACCAATGGTTCTGTTCTGCCTGTTCCAGGAAATGGCAACCATGCCTTTGTTTCAATAGGTTTTATGACCGCCTTGTAACCATGCCTTTGTTTCAGGAGGTTGTTGTGACCAACTTGCTATGTTTGTGTTCTGCTCCTGTAACCCTGCCTGTTTGCCTGCCAAACCCCCCATTCCGAAACCTGATACTCCTGACCTATAAAACCATTCTCTCCCCATCCCCATCCGATGTTAATCTCTTAAACCCCACATTTAGGGAGAGACAGTTAGTGTATACAAATAAAAATGCTTGCTCTAATGAATCTGACCATAGTGTTTGTTTCTCCTCCCTTCTGTGGGATCAGCAGCAGAGGGATGGTATCTCACTTCTGACCTGGTTTCACTGGAACTGAAGGAAGTAAAAGGATGTGTACAGGGGTCTCACACAAAGCAGAAACATTTTAAGTTGTGATGCTCCTTCAGGCTACTTCCTGGGAAGCGCTGGGATTTCTTCTGGAACACTTTGAATAAGTCTGTAATAGGGATCGGTCACCTAAATTGGGGAGTAAACAGGCACCTGGTGTTTTAGCCAACAGCAGCAAGTGAGGCTAATGTTCAAATCCTTGCTGTTTGAGCTGACAGCCTTTGTAAAATGAGAAAGGCAGGTTAGGTCAACTGGAGAAAGAAGATGCCTGGCTCCATCTGCACCCAATTCACACTGGCCTGAACACGTCCATTTACATTCACAGAAAGTGTGAGCAGTGCATTCCTATGGTTTGAATTTTAAAGAACTATGCTGACATCGTGACCATTTTATTCTAAAACGTGAATTTTGGCATTTTTTTTTTCCAGAGCAAAATTAATGTCATTAAATGAAGGCCTTAACCTTAGAAGTCCCTTCAATGGGTTTGGTGATTAAAATATAGTAAATTCACAACAGACTCAGCGGGGGTCAGCATCAGAGCTGGGTGCATAGATGCTCACGACCTGTGCTCAGACACCTTTGTGCCGGGGTTAATATTGTTCTCATGCTTTCTGGGAATCTCTATTGGCTTCTGAAACACAGGCCCCTGACTTCGGCTCACCAAGGGCCCTCAGTTCTCAGGACAGGTGTCATCAATGTGACTGGTTATTGCCTCAGGGGTAAGAGGATATTTCAAAACCACTGGGGAAAGTTACAACATGCGTCTTTGTATCTCATATTATTTGTAGTAAAAAGCAACTGAAACACTTCCTTTGGCCACAGAGGCAAAGGGTTTGACAGTCCTGTCAAGGAATTTTAGGGCTGTTTTAGATTCTTTTCATATAGGTCTAAAAATAGCTTCATGTGTCTTTTTCCATATTCTTAAAACAATTGAACCTGTGAGCTTGTAATGACGCAATAAAGCTTCTCACCTGTGAGCTGTAGTCACTCAGTGAAGCGTCTTACTTGTGAGCTGAGGTCACCCAGTGAAGCTTCTCACCTGTGAGCTGTAGTCACAGTGACGCTTGAGAATAGTTCTTTCTCACTGTATTGCAAATCTGAATGTTTCCATGTATAGCTTTAAAACATATAATAGAAAATTCAACTTAAAATTAGATAAAGCGGTTATATTTCCAAACATGTAACAGTTTAGCCAGACACACACTGTCTGTCTGTCTTTCTGAAGCCAGACTCATGGCTCCTGTTGTCTGTCAAAATTTCTGTTATTTTATAGACCCACCCCAAGCTTGGTCCCTGACTCAGCCAGGGTGGAGCAGACAGAACCCTAACTCACACCAGTTGTGACGAGCTAATAATTTTAAATTCAGGCTAGCAGAGGAGACTGAGGCTTCTCCACCCTGGCCTTTTTGTGTTATGACACACAGGGCCCCGCGGCTTCCTGGAAAGCACAACAGAACCTGTCTCCATTCCGTACAAAAGCCCTACATGGCACCCCACTCCAAGCACTGTGTGTAATGATTCTATCAATCCTCGCTCCAATCCTTTAGAAAGCCCGTGTTATCCACATTACAGGTGAGTAGCTGGAGAACCTTGGAGCACCACTGATGGTATATGGAGCACCACAGATGGTATATGGAGCACCACTGACGGTATATGGAGCACCACTGACGGTATACGGAGCATCACTGACGGTATATGGAGCACCACTGACGGTATATGGAGCATCACTGACGGTATATGGAGCACCACTGACGGCATATGGAGCACCACTGACGGCATATGGAGGAGCACCACTGACGGCATATGGAGCACCACCAACAGTATATGTAGCTTTAACTCACTGTTCTGTTATTTATTCATTCTTTGTGGAAGATCTGGTCACAGGAGGAGAAGTT